AAGGGTTACGTCCAGGACTATCTCAAGTTGTATGGAAGGAACTAATATGCGTGCCCACCAAAGCAGGTACAATAGCTTCGGGCGCCAGGTATTTTAACATTCCCTGGGTGCACCATCCAGTGCAAAGTGCAACCCTCCGAGCTGTACGCAGAAGTTGAGCCATCGCGCAGGCCATGTGACAAGCACGGCGGGTATGACGTCACAGTGGCATCCACCTATTCTTTGCCCACCATTTAACTGCCGTCCTGGGTGTATCGACGTACCCACGCCGCCTGGTGTATCTTAAGCTTTTCTGCCAATCATGACCGCACGGTGCTTGTTGGGGCGCCCAGTGACTGCGGTGTGGTAAAAATGAACGATGGGCGAACGAACGCCTCTAAGTGAATAATTCAAACCACTGCAGTAAAACCACCAGAGAAGGCTTCGCTTTTACCTCAACCCACTGTTTCATACAGGCTGAACACTGAATGCCTTGGGTGACATTAATTACTGTTAATGCTATGAATTGGTTGTTGCAGCTGGTACAGAGAACGGTGGTACGTCACATCAATGCCTCAGCATATCCCAAGAGAGACGAAAAGACAACCGTGCATTTCTGCCTTATTTCAACAGCTTCTATTAGTTCTTTCAAATTGCTTCGTCACGCGGCCGGGCTGACTCCTTGAAACGAGACTTTTTGTGGAGGTATGGGGTTCAGAACTTAAAAAATATTGGCCGTCAGTGCAAACAAATGGGAGGTAAACTATTGCAAACGTCACATCACTGGTTGCATAGAAAATTACCAAGAAAAGTCTCTGGTTGCTGGCTTGAATCACTAGGCAGCCTTTTTGTTTGCGTATGGTGCAAACTCAGACTTAAACATTACGTGCGTTTCGTGCCGTTCTCACTTCTTTGTTGCTTCCACCATGATGCTACGACAAGTTTCTGAGGAAAGGGAGGACCTCCCACCTATACCCGTACTCGCACTAGCCCGCTGCATCTTCGAGGGAGTCAGCTCCCGCCAACTGGTAGGGTGCTCACAGTCGTGTCACAGGATTGGTGAAAGGCGCTGTCGTGGCTGCATTGCGCGGCAGCTCGCCTTTCAAAAACTATCAACACGTACACTTTAAATGGCCGGCGACTAATACACTGGCCCCAACATTCGCGTTGGAAAAAGTGGAAATGATATTGCGGTGATAATGACAATTGTAGCATTGAACTGCACTCTCGACCTCGCTTGTTATGCAGCTTGCATCGCACCCTGCACCTGCAGCGATTGCAATACCAATCGGTGCCCCCATCTGAAGACGAGACACAATTAAAACATCGCGCGGAAACAAAAAGAAGGCAATTGGGCGGCCCCACTTCCAGCGCCAGTTTATCTATCGCCTGAAGAAAGGCGCACATCGCGTAAGTATTCCACGCCGGTTCTCCGCCTGTTGCCCAATCCCCGGCCCGTGCCGCCACATCAGCCAGCAGATGGATGTTAAGTGGGGCCACACCGATCCGGCAAATCCCCTCCGCTCGCTGCAGCAATCGGACGGCCTCGTCAGTTCGGCCCATCTGGCGGCTCTGGAATGCAGTCCACCCAGGTTGTTTGGGGCTATTGATGTACAAGGAGTTCCTTCGGCCCATTCGAGGTTATTCGCGAGGTCTCCGAAACTGATACAATTGACTTCAATACCTTCGTGACGGTCATCGTCCATACAAGTGCTGGAGTGATGTGTCGATCTCCGGCTGCGGAACGAGCCGCGCCGCCACAGCTGGCCCGGGAACGCACCGCGGCCGCTGGCTCTTTCGGCGTCGCCTTGCCCGGCAGACGACGGGCCAGGCAGGAGAAAGGCAGCGCCGGCGCTCGCCCGGCCCGGGCGTCCTTGGCAGCACCGGTGTTGCGCGTAAGCGGCCCGAATGCCGCAGGCGCGGACGGCCAGCACCGACCACAAAGATGGCGCTTCCAGCCACGCATAGGCGGCAGCACCGGTGTGTAACATTGCGATCGCATCGTATGGGAGAACGATCATCCGTCCAATGACCTTTAGATCATATGTCGGCTGTATTCTGGAGCGCAATCTGCCGCCGCTCACAGTACGAGGCCACCACTGTTCATCGCATGCGACCAGAGATCAATGAACCACGGTCCTGACTCGAACCATGGCCACGGGCAAGCCACGGCTGACGCCAACACCGGTGACGTCGGACACACCCGCCGGAGATCTCCCCGTTCGCCAAGCATCATGTCCGACGCGGGAATCTTGCGTGTTCACGATGCTGCAATATCACACATTGTACCTTGCGTAACAGTCGGAGTGACTGCCTTCTATTGACCGGTTTCAACAGGAATATTGCGTCAATTACCTTAGCTTTTCTTCCTGCACCTTGCGCCTTTTCGGTTCGTCACCTCAATAGCAGGTGTTATCATCAGAAAATCGCGCGACGTGTAAAACAAAACCGAGGTTTCTGGAATTGGGATCAAAGAATCTTGCTCGCCGCAATGTAAGTCATCCCTTAGATCAAGATGTCTTTTGAAATCATATTGAATAGTTGGATAAACCAGACGGCTGCAGTCCATATGCCACCGCTAGTTGTCTACAAGCATGACATACACAAATGATATTTTTGCGCGCTGGGCATTTAAACAAAAAAAAAGGAAATTTACCTCCGTTCCTCTTTTATCAAAGCATGCCCAATGAGGCCAGAAGGGAGATGGGAGGAAAAACTGCCAAGGACGCATTCGACAAAGCAAGGCGGAGAAGATGCTCCGTTTATAGCCTGATAACATCTACGCGCGTTCGACACGTGAAAATAAAACACCTGTGTGGTCAGACTATTACAAAAAATGTTCCATATTGGTATGGAATTTCGAAAAAGGAAAGCCATTTTCAAGATATTTTCCTGCAATCTACAGTTATGCCCTTAGTTCTTTCATTTCTGGCCTATGCGCCTACGAATCTGTTCGGTTTTCACACAGCCTAATCTGACATTAACCGGAGAAGTATGACGCCATAGAAACGTTATACCAATTCATACCTCTCAATATCTATACCGTGTCCAATGTCACGCAAACACGACCATTGACATTGTGTCTGACGTACCTTAGCACGAATTGTCGCACCAGCGGCACCGCAACCGAGAATAAAAATGCAAGCAACATGTCATCGCGAAAAATAAAAAAAGAACACCACGAGAAAGGGCCAAAACACGCGCGCATAGCGATGACTGGTTTTTAACCGTGTACATTACCAGATCACCTTGCGGCGAATTGTGGTATTACAAGTGAGTCAGCACGTTCGCTACGGCGGCAGTTCCAACACAGCCAGTCTGGCAGCGACTCTGGCGTCATGAAGACGTTACGGGACGCAATCAAACGACGCATTGATGAGCATATCATGTCTATATCTAAGACACAATTATGTTATCTAAAGCAGTCTTTTGCACTTAAAGGCATGTTAACAATTAGAAGAAAGTTATTTTCATCATGTCTGAATGCCTGCCTCAATATCTAACAATGTGAAACAGCCAAGTTAAAGGGATTGTTCTACATTTGTATGGGTTTTAAACTGCAATAGCCACTTTGAAGATCATTCGTTAAAGTGCGAAGCCCGCCTTTCATAAACCTAAAGCCCTCTTGTTTCTGAACCACACACCCACGAAGATGAGCAGGCTACCTTTTTGCCGACTACTTTAAGGCCATTAAGGCATGCATGACATCATAGAAACGCTATTTAAGTCCTGCCACCCCACAGGGGGTGAGGCGTTCAAGAGCAGGAAGAAGATTATCGTCGAGCCGTTCACAACTGGCGTCCGTGAGCACGACTTTCAAATAAGGCGGACGTCGAACGGCTCTCAATCAACGTTAAGTAAGCTTCAATCATGGCCACGTTTTGTGCCACGTAATATAAGAAGTTGGGCATGTCTGTTTCACTTGCTAGCTATTACGGAAATCGTTCTCGTGACATCATTATTTCAGACCACCAGAAAGGGCCAAAGCACGAGTACATCACGATATTTGGCTTAGCGAGCACATACGGCACCGAAACTGCCACCTTTCTGCGAATTTGAAGTACCACAAGTGAAGCCATTAAGAAGCCCATCAACGTGGGCTCATTTCATCAACTTGATGCTTGCTAGAATGTCCTCAAATGTGGAACATTCTCTTTTAACAATGCCAGATCAATTTGTTCGGTGTAAGGCTAAGCAGCAGCGTCTACGGCACGACATGGCCATAAAGACGGCTCATCTCCACGTTTGTGGCAGCGGGTGGCAACACTGGCCTCCAATGCCCCACAAACCTCACTTTGATTGGGTTAGCACACCGGCAGCTCCAGCCAGGATACCAACGCACCAAGACACGTGACGCGAAGGGTAATGTGAGTGTCGCGTGTGACGCTCGAATTACAGCTGAGAAACACATGCCATCTGGTATTCCGCACAATTTGAGAACCCGAAAACAATGCGCACCAACTTCCGCACTTCCTCCATAATGCGCGTTTGAATCCCTCACTGTCGTCTGTTAAACGAATAGGCACCCGAATTACAGTTCTCGAGCCCCTCTCGGGAGTGTCGGTGCTCACGCCGCCCAGTGTCAACGGCTGGGGTGACCTCATCAGCGGAGTGTCGGCACTCACCCCGCCACCGCGGATAAATATCTAAAATGTCCCGTGTCGGTAGGATGGCGATACGCAGCCCGCTGCCGCGGATCAACAGCTAGAGTGTTCGTGTTGGCGAAGTTTCGGTACTCACCCCGCCGCCGCGGATCAACAGCTAGAGTGTCCGTGTTGGCGGAGTGTCGGTACTCACCCCGCCGCCGCGGATCAACAGCTAGTGTCCGTGTTGGCGGAGTGTCGGTACTCACCCCGCCGCCGCGGATCAACAGCTAGAGTGTCCGTGTTGGCGGAGTTTCGGCACTCACCCCGCCGCCGCGGATCAACAGCTAGTGTCCGTGTTGGCGGAGTTTCGGTACTCACCCCGCCGGCGCGGATCAACAGCTAGAGTGTCCGTGTTGGCGGAGTGTCGGTACTCACCCCACCGCCGCGGATCAGCAGACGTCGGAAGTCGTCGGACGTGTTCTGGAAGGTGAGTTTCTCCTTGCGCACATTGGTCGTGGGCTGGTCGTTTTGCAGCACCAAGTCGTGATTAAATGTGACGTTCTCCTTGTTCTTGAAATGCACGGTGATCGGCAGCAGGAATCCAGCGTAGCCCGACTCGCACACCTCGTAAGGCGGCTCGTGCTTCACTGCGGGAAGGAGACGATGGCATCAGCGGTACCCAGACACGCAGGCACGACACACAGACTGGATGAAATCGACGCACTGAAGGGTAACCCGGGGCGACGGCATCAGAAATAGCAGGATGATCCAGGTCGAGGCCAACGGAAAGAGCCAAGCGTTAATCACGGTTTGGTAAGAAATAAACGTCACCAGTACAGCTTCTCTTGGAAAAATCAATGAGCAACAAAATCCTCTTAAAATTAATTTATTAAGTGATAGTCGTGTAGGCTCTGACATCAGCCGGCTCTTGACAACACCAGATCAAGAATTTCCCGCACAACGCAAAATTGAAAAAACTGCCTGAAACTTTGTTCTTGCTCAAACTTAATCGGTTGGACCTGGCAGTGAAATCTGATTCAACAAGGGCGAATGGCAAAACTGATTCGAACTAAACCCATATGCTATATTTGTGTGCAGAATCTGAGAAACTTCCATGTCGCGCAATCCCTGCTCGCTATGCAAGGAAAGGGCCAAAACAATCCAATGAGCAACCATATGGCGATGAAATGCAACACGTGCGTGACATGAAAATAAAAAGTGAACTATTTGTTCGGATTGTTAGCACGTTAATGGCCAGAAAAGGCATTTCATTCAGCTGTACGTCCACAGCTACACCATGCTAAAATATCAACTGTGGCGTTTAACGTGAGCAATTGATTACCAAGTTGTCGCGCATCCATGTAATGTTGCAAAGACTATCGAAAACGTATGAAAGACAGTATTTGAAACATCCCACAGGATATTGTGATCTGGTAAAGACTGAGCTATCAAGAGCATTGCAAGAATACTACATTCATAACGTTCAAACGCCTTCCAAAACAAAAGAAGTCGCAGCACTCCACATTTTGTACTGAGATACATGGGCATACCAATGTCCCAGGTCTTTCGAGGTTTACACCAAAATTATTGTTTTATATTTGGGGCCAGATGGGCACTGCCATTAAAAAAAAAATCCTCAGCCACAAACGGCACGTACACTTCATTAGTCCAGGCGGCATAGACCACACGTGACGTCAGCCCTACGGAGTGTTTCCAACAAGGTGTTAGCATTACTGATAGATGTTTTTTCGGGCTATCGTGGTGATCTTGTGTGTTATCATATGCACGGCGTTTCAACCGGCTAGTTATCCGGCTTTTCTCGGGTGCTCATTGGTCTTCCGCGTGACCCCGTTTGAAAGGTGGCGGACAGGAGCCAAAGTTCCAATTAATCCACCTGAACTTTACCCACTAAGCATGACGCCATTACGAAGTAAGGGTGGTGAAGATGCCTGCTTGTCTTCCCTGATCCGGCTGGCCGGTTCAGTGAATGTGCAGCATGCATGTGATGTCCCCTGTGCCTGAAGTGACAATTCCGGCATACCCATGGGCACCTACACTCAGGAGTTGGTTGTTTGGATTGATGACGGATGGCCTGTTGGACCCCACGTTGGGCGTAGAAGCGGGTCAAATACGTGCCTACGATAGGTGCATACATTCTGGTGTGCGAAAGAAGAGCAGAAACCCTTAAGTGGGGCGCTGCAACTTCATAACAGTAACGACGGTGAACACAATCCCCGGCCAAACCTTTCCTGACGCGCTGCAGGGTCCATGTTAAAATTCTGCAGAACCGCCAGGGCATACATTCCGCAGGCCCACGGCTCCGATGTCCCGTGTTTACGGCGATAGATATCAAATGGATGTTGGCTAAACTTGTTTTCAGTTCACAGCATGCACCGGACACCACCCGTGCAGAGCCAACTACCGGAAGGCACGCGTGCCGAACGTGATCTACTGCTTAAATATGCATGGCAGTAAATGGACGTCGAGCTTTTGACGTCTGTTCAGACATGTTAAAACAGGCCAGAAAGTGGCTCACAGCTATTTTCCAGAACTATGAGGGACGCCTCCTTCAGGAAATGGCATCCATAAACCAACTTGGCAGCCCTTTGAATATATATACACCACACATTATATATATATATATATATAAATATATATATATATATATATATATATATACATATGTATATGGGTATTTTCATGCATTATTCCCTCTGTGTTCTTCAAAACATATGCCACTGCTGCCCAGCATGCACTGGGAAGGGTCAAACTGATCACCAGTCTGCTGTCTTATGGGCTGACAGTATGTAAGAGAGACAATGCACAGGATCATCAAGATTAGTGTGTCAGGCGCAACATGTATGTGTACTGGCGCCACTGAGTTAATACCTTTTCTAAATAAAAGGAACCCCAATAACTATACATGCCCACTGAGTCAGTTGCACAAACAGCCAGTTCAGCCCGTTCACTTAAACTTAATTGGCGATAATAGATAAGCCTTGCTAGGCTCTGGCGCGCCTGCACGCCCAGCCAGCGCGCGTCATGCACGGACAGCGGCGCGTCGTACCTCGCTTCGGTTTGGGAAAGCTCTCGTGCAGCTGGAAGACGACTTTGTCGATGAAGGCCTCCACCGGGTTCTGGTCGGGTCCGCGCACGAACACGGCCCAGTCGTGTGTGTAGCCCTCGGCGGTGGGCTCGTCGCGGATGACGGCCCGGTGACCCAGCTCCAGCATCACCTGCACCGCCTGCCGTCGCAGGTCATCGCCGGTCAGCTCGCGGCAGGGCGTGTTGCGCCAACCCTGCCACGACCCGCACCGGCCACCAGCGCCCGGCGCCCGGCCCAGGCCCGAGCGCGGCCAGAGATGAGGCGTGGCCGACTCACAGCACTGTGGTTGAGTTTGTTGATGACTACCTTTAGATGCCAAATAATGCTAACAAACATCGGCACAAGCGCCAGTATCTCGCGCGCCGACTATGGTTGCTGACAGTGTCATGTTCAGACAGTTGTCTGGCTACTGAAGAAAAGATAACACAATCCAGCTTGGCCACATTCTGAAAGCATCAAGCAGGCCCTGGTAGGTTCTGAGCACATTATCATTGCATGATGCAACATGTAGTCATTGTAAAATGATACTTCCACTGCCCATACACATATGGGCTTTGGACAATGCAAGTTGTCAGGAAATATATACCAACAAAGTGTCCATTACAGTTTTACAGAACACATGGCATGTGGTGTTATTAGACAACACCACAGAACATAAACTCATGCCTTTGTCCAGCATGAACTTTTAAATTTCAAAAATGATTCATGGAAAGCTACCTCTCAACAAGAACAACAGCTTAAAAGGAACATACATAGACACTTCTTTACTCCACTACAGAACATAAAATCAAATCCTTGATCATAATACCACAAGTACTGACAGAACAAGAAAAAATGCTTGGAACATGCTGATGATGCCTCCACATACCGAGTATGCCATGGCTTCCCTGTGTCTGCTCATTGGCTCCAGTCCATCTGCAAAGCACAAACAGTCCAACATCAGCTCACTTCCAGTGATCACTGCCCAGTAGACTGGAGCTTTAGTTTGAGATTGAGGAACAAAATACACATTTCAAAGCACCTAGTGAGATGGAGGATATTCAAAGTCCATATCCTGTATTGATGCATGAACATCTGAATCTTCAACATGGGTGCAGGGTTTAGCAATATTCTAGTAATAGCTAGAAACAATGAGGAGACAGATTCTGCTATTGACTTTCACTGTTGGTGACCTCCAACAAACAAGAAACTATCATACACATTAGCTTAAGTGCAATCACATTGTGCAGCATGTGATGCAAGCTGTTATTGATATGACAAGGTATCAAATCAAGATACTTCAACCAGGCAAGAAACATTTTTTCAAGACTTCATACCTTGAAAGGCATTTATAGGATGCATGCACCCCAAATCAATAGGTGGTTTAGGCATCTTGCACATGCTAACAACCACTGAACAGCCCTGTGCATGTGTTAGACAGAATTTTGCATGGAGGCATTGTTTTAACCCAGTAAAACAATGTGGCCCCAGAAGAGTGTGGTTTCCACCAAAATTGTTTTTCCAGTTGCATGCATAACAGAAAATTGTCAGCATCTGAGCTTACAAATACTTCTGTGAATATTTGAAGAATAAGTCATTATCAATTCATGAGTCTTTGACAATGCAGTCTTCTTGTCCAAGAGCAAAAGATGCCTTCAAAGTTAATATGCACCATAGCAGATGTTTGAGACAAAACAAGCATTCAAATGCATGCCAGAAAATGATCATTTCTCATTAAACAAACAAAAACCATGGCATAATAATGTAACAGACCCAAATGCCTGTTGCTTCATGGTTATGCTAAGTCAGCTTAATGAAATGGACAAATTTGAAGGGCTAAACTTCATTTTATGATGTGACTCAACATGAGTGAAACCAAATCTCTGAGACTGGCTAAATCTGGATAGGGGGGGGGGGGGGGGGGGGGGGTCAAAGCCAGAGTCTGGGGAACAACCTCAATAACAAATGGTATGCTGGATGACAAAACATGACAGATTGTATTTACAAATAAACTTGGATGAACAAAAACAGCATTTGAAAAATGGGGATGTATTGCTGCAATCTTTCACTTATTTCACCCACCTAGCTCAATATACAATACACAAGGATACATGACATTTAATGCAATGTTTGTTGTGGCAGTTGTGTAATTTGTATGCTCATTTTGAAAAAGGCATTGAATAATTCAGTAGAATTTATACCAAAATAGGATGCAATGGGAAAGAGCTACCATATAATTAAATCTAAATCCTAGCAGCACTTAAGCCAGGGAGTGGCAACTGGCAAGAGTACATGAAAGTGCATGTTGCTTGATACCCTGAGTTTGAAAAGTTGCTTGTCAGATAAGAGAAATATCTTAAGGCAATCATTTGCACACAGTCTTATGAACCATACAATTTAATACCTCCAAAATTCAGAGCAGTCCTATCCAATCCCAGACTGTCTATGGTTGCACCCATGCATGTTGCTATCCATTAATGCCTCATATTCTCACCACTTAAGCTTTGTATGTTTGTTCTATTTTAAGCCATTCATTGTCAATTAAAATCATTTTACCACCACTGGAGACAGACACAAGAGTAGCCACCAAGCATTGAAGAAGAATCTATACATTAAATCTGCAAAACATGCACTTACTTCACTGCAGCCTTTTGCACTCTGCACTACTGGACAGCACACTGGCAGCAACTGATTGCTAATTCTTGCCAGAATTTTACACTCCCTGGGCTTATCTTGTTTGACAACTTATACTAAATGGAAAATCCCACCATGGGGACAGCCTCAAACACTGACATACAGGGCCAGTTAAGTTTGTTTTTTACCTTTATAGGGTAAATTCTTGACCATAATAAGACAACGACACATAATAAATGGATGATTTAAAAACACAATATCATCTAGTCAGAGAAAAGCACATAAATCTAGACAAATGTGTCTTAGAATGTAAACTACAAACTATTTGACAAAAACAGACCACACACTTGTACTACCAATCCCACACGGCTTTCTTCATTTGAGAAAATAACGCTGGATCTGTTACCATCGCCTCAAGCGGTTAGACTATAACTACCAATACAAATTGCGTTCATGACATATGAATAAGTACAACGATGTCCTCCAAACGGCCCTGAAGTGGTTTCAAGGTGCAAGACAACTGTACTTAAAAAGCAGCACATTCAAAAACAACACAACAGACAAATCGGAAGTTCCTGTTCACAAAAACCATGACAATAACATCATAAGCCCACGACATATAATAATACCGAAATGAGTCGATGACCCTCAGCTCCCCAACACCATTTGCGCTCTCTCGATACGTAAATTGTTTGTGAATTTGGCGCAGCTGTTCATAGAGGTCTCAAGTCCAAGGGAGCATGACAGCTTGATAATGATGTCACGGACGACACGGCACCGAAACTGACGCCATAAAAGTATTCTATGATGTAATCAAACAATGATGTATTAAGTAGCGTATCCACTAGGTAGCAAAATTATGCTATTTAGAACAGACATTTAATCTTGAAGCATACCAGTGACCTCCCATCACATCTGAGGCTTGACAGAATGCTTTCATGTGCGCAAAGTTAATTGTCAAGCTTCGAGTGATTCGATGTTTTGTCCAGACACCTGAGTGGAACATGACGTTTTCAGAAATCTCCCCGTTCCTCCATTACCACGTTTTCCCTATAATCTATGAAAGCCCACTCCCTTTCGTTACCCCCTCTATCCGCAACATGGGCGCAGCCAGAGCTTTCGTGAGTCGGAGCACAAGGTTGGCAAAGGGCTAGCTGATGATAAAAGGGCCCCATCCTGAATATCGCTGGACATGGCCCATTTGCTCATGACCGCATTACACATGTGCACACATACAACAAAAACATTTTTACCTTCCATATCCAGAATAAAGGCCAGGTGTCATGGCGAGATCAATGTTGTCTTAAACCTATAGCAAGCAAACTGAAAAACCATGCAGTAGCAACGTTCCTGGTGGACTTCCTTTAAGCCGATAGAACTCAGAAGCATTAGCGGAATCTGTATCGGTAATGTACAAAGATATCAAGGACTCCGCGAATATACATTGAAGATCATTATGGCTCAATAATTTGCATTAACATGGCCAAGCTATATTAGTCCGAATATCTTCAATCTTCAGACAGAATTGATGAGTCATAAAAACTATGTGACGTAGCTGTGAGCATGCGCGCTCACAAATCCTAGCGGCAAAAGCCTCGACGCTAGGCGTTGCAGTCCCTTAGGCCGCGCAGGGTTGCCCCGCTGCCTACACTAAGCTCTGGCCACAGGTGGACGACAGCGATGACGCATGTTGAAAGAAGTACCCTTCAACGCTTTTGGACATAAAAATCATCCACTTAGAGGTATTGTGGGCGTGTATTTCATCTGCGCGGCTTTTAGATTGATGATAACGTATTGGTCTTTACAATCGCCGGGGCCGGGCCCCTCAACGGGACCTCCGGGCGGCCTTTCGGGGTCTTAATCAACGTTGAATCCCCTACACCCACCCTGCCTGCACCACTGATCCACAACAAAATTTTCAAACGACTCGTGGACACTCGCGAGTAATTTGGTTCATGACGTCATCAATAGCTGTTATATGAAACGGATTTCTACTTCTGCTGTTTGCGCCACTGGCCCACTGCGCTACATTGGCCAAAATTATGATCGCCACTGAACCCATTACCCCGCAATGAACTATGAGCATTAAGGGGAACACGGAGAACCATTAGGGACGCTGGGGTGACTGAGGTAAGAATTGCCGAATGATTTTGGTTCGGAAGTGGAGTGTCATTAGCACACTATTTGAAAACGGGAAACTTGAATGCCTACGTTGGTTGATTTCGGAAAAAAGCTGTGTAGTGGGGTTTTCGTCCTTGCCGAATCTTCAAGTAATTCAGGCAATGAGTTATGTAAATAGACTGACCGTTTAAAATGACTAGATCACAACATGAAACCGGTTGCGGATTGAGTATTGTTGATGTAGCAAGTATATTGTGAGGAGCTGTGGAGCGTAGAGTGATGGCTGGGAGGCTGCAAATGTATACAGTATCATGTGTGCTACCTGTCCTTACCTTACCAAGTACATGATCTGGTAGGCCATGTTGCATGTCAGCTTGATCCTGTTGAGATCCTGACTTGTTAAGCTGCTTCAAACCTGATCTATAATGATGTATGTTAAGGTGTGCAGTGTGTGTATTGTCTGTATTTCAACATGCCCACTATGTCGGAGGGAGCTACACTCTGGGGAAAATAATTTTAGCCATTGAAAACTTGTGTTGAAGACATTCCTTCTGACCCCCATCTCCAACTGAGGCCTGCTAAGATTTCAGGCGCAGACCCTCACAGGTTGTTTTGATGAGTAGAATGTGCCTGTCATCAATCAATTGAAGTGTGAGATCTGGTCAACAGCAATCATGTATCCCAGGCACCTGTGATGGTGTTGGGATGACAGAGGATACAGAGCCTCTTGGTAAGACCTTCTGCTGATGTTTTGTTTGAGATTTGCTGCCTGCCTCCAGACACATTTCATCAGCTTTTGGTTGGCAGAGCTAAATGCCCCCTTCCCCAATATTGTTTGGATACACAGGGTAAGGCTGCACCAGCATTTTAAACAGATGAGGTTGGGTCATCTGATCAAGCAGCTTAAAGGACCAGCAGGTGGTCATTAGAATCTGGGATGGCTTGAATGTTAGACATGATTTCCTCTCCCTGCTTGTGGAACAATAGGTCCCTTTCTAAGAGCGACCCAGTTTCTTTTTGTCACAGCCTAATCCAACAGAATGCATCTCTTGCAACATAAACCAACTTCCTGTTTCCCCCCCACCAAGCTTTAGTGACTTGCACTTGCCATTCTTCACCAGCAGTGGCTTTCAGTGGCCAGGGCACCAACCAGACAGTCAGGGTATCAAGGTCTTGCTTCAATCCCATCAAAGCCTCACAGCTGGATGTGCCATTGTGCCATGAATCTTAGCTTAGTGTGAGATCTGTGAGGAGGTAAATGAAACCCTGTGTAACTTCAGGTAGATAATTAATTAACCTCAACAGCAGGGAACCTATTATATATATATATATATATATATATATATATATATATAATATATTATAACATCATAACAGCTTGAACAGCAACAGGGAACAGAGCCATGTGGCATGTCTCTGGTGACTAGTGTCAAGGTGGACTTGCACCTTAACTGACACATCCTGGCACCTGTTAGTTGGGAGAACCTCAATCCATTTAATAAGTCTGTCCCTAATCTTAGAGTCACATGATAGACTCCGAGCTGGAATTATGCTGTACAGTGTCAATTAGATCACCAACTTTCATCATGTTCCTCCAACCTCCAATGGCTGTCAACAGATGAGTGGTACACAATCATTTGGGCCTGAAATCATGTTGGGCATTGTGTAATTGGTGAGTGGGAGCAAGTGTCACATTAGAGGATCACAGGCAGTCATCTCAAGTACCTTGCATTCTTTTCAGCCAAGAAATAAAGCCTGCACAGAGTCTGTCTAGAGGCAATGTTTGTTTGTGTGGGTGTTATGTGTGAAATGAAGGGGTGACTAGGTGAAGGGTGTGGGTGGAGGAGGTGTTATGGTTATTTTACATTAGGTTAACTTTACATAGCTTAAGTATAGGCTTATTTGCAAAAAAATAATCCCTGTGCAGGATACATATGTGACAATAATGAGCATACATGACATTGATGCACAGACTTTTATTCTAAATGGCTTGCATGAGCGACTTTTGGGCACACAATACCTACTTGGCATAGCTTGTGATATTTATACTGAATCTGTCACCCATGTCATGCAGAGCAGCTCAGCTGATGATTTGCCTCTGCCCTATTTTACCAGAGTGGAACAAGGAGGTTTTTACGCTGCACAAGCTGTGCATGGCTGCCCCCTGCCTGGATTGACCGTGGTTGGACAGCTTTTCCCCTGACCTTTCCATTCTGTTGGGTCAACTTGCACTTGCTGTACTCATTGGAGCTGTATTGCAGGCACGGCATCTTTTGACTAGGCCATGGGACCTGGAGTACATGTGTGCCAACTCAAGTCAAGCTAAACTGAGCTGAATTTCCAAGTTTGAAAAATATTGAGCTTTCTGTTGCGTGACATCACTTCATCCACATCATAATTCCATGAAACATTGTCCCCATGACTGAAACTTATGCAGACTGTGCACAAAGCTTGGGGGTCTCATATTCAGGATGTGTTTGCACTGATAGTTTTGCCAGGGTTTTCATACGTTGCCAGACATGTTTTGGGTGTGTGTGTATTTTCCTTAGTCTGGGGTATAGATAAGAGTTTGGTAGTGACTGGCTGATGCCAAGGAAGCAGTCATTGCTTGGAAAGCAATATACCTTATCTACTCATGTTTATGCAAGCTCAAAACTTGTTGCAGTTTCTAATGTTCCATTATGTTTTCTGATACAAATATGTTTTGAAATTGGTCCAGATGTTGCCTAAACCTTTCATTTAATGGATTTCTGGGGTCCCAGCCACCATCAGGTGAGAGCAGATTTAGCCATTTTCACTGCTTATCCCCAACTCATGTTACGATGCTCTTTTTGAGTCTGCTGTTGCCTTTTCATGTAAACAGCAAGTAATAAGGTATTTGGATGTGGAAGAAAATGCTCTCATCTTCATCCTCACCTGAGCTGGAAGGAAGACATTCCCCTGAGATGGAGAAAGAAGCCATCAAGGCTAACAAGGATGAATAGAAGAAAAAAGAGCAGGTGAAATCTGTGGTTGTTTCCAACTATATTATGTTTGATCATCCAATCAGACAAACATTGTGATTTTCATCAAAATAAAGTTTAGAATTCCCCTAATGAGCTATTTCATGTAAAAGTATGCCAGAATAGTGCATCATGATGGCTTCCTGATGATGGTTCATGATGGTGGTGATGTTGATTCATGTTCATGTTCATCGTAGATCGGCGGTTACAGCTGCGGTTCATTACAGCTGCAACTTGCCATGCCGGTAGCCCCAGCTTAGTCCGCCGGCATGCTCGTTTGATGTGCATGACCCAGAATCGTGTCTGGATTTCAATTAAAACCTGATTCACTACGAATCACACCACTCACGGTAAATGTAGGTATTGTATGATGGTGTTACCGAGTGCAATGCGTTCACCATCGCCCCGATTGTGTTTAGGGAACAGTGATTTTTTCTATACCGGATGTGGCGCTGGTCGGGTCGCAGCCAAACTCCGATAGGATTGTTCCTGGTTCCCTGACCATCGTTGACAAGGTTAGACACCCGCAAAACTGTTTTCCTTGCGTGTATTTGTTTAACAATGACAGTGCAAGTGCGCGCATGGCTATAGCACACAACTCTTTTTTGAACGGTGGTGAAGACACCACCGATCTGGGAGGTCTACCTTTCAAAACTTCGTGCTGCTTATCTTGTTTTAATGGGCCGTGAACAAACCCAGAGTGCGTGCCATCTCTGTGCTGACGTCAGTCCGGGCCCGGCTCATGTGAGCTGTTCAGTCCGATCTGCAGCCAGCGCGTGTCGCGCCGGCGCGCCAGATGTCAGAACGGTCGCTCTCCTGGCGTGGTGGCCGATGTCGCCCTGGGACGGGGCTATGAGTTCCCCGCGTGGTTGGCAGGGCCACGGCACGTACATGGTGTGGAGGCGAACGGACGCCGCCAGTCCGGAGCGGACCGACGACCGCACCACCAGCCCGGCTCGCACCGACTGGGCGCTGCTGGAGCCGGCCGTCGGCTTCCACCGACACAACAGCCGCACGGAAGGTACGTGCGGCCGCCACACAGTCGCCTGCCCCGGCCGCCGGACGTCACGCGGTGAGGCGTTGACGTGCGTCTCCCGGCTCCGCCGTGCAGCGGCGCACGTACATCTGTGATAAATGCGCTGTGCAGGCAGTTATCGCCCGGCCTAAGCCCAGTCTCTGTCCAGCCTCAGCCTCACCTCAGCCTCAGCCTCAGCCTCAGCCTCAGCCTCAGCCTCAGCCTCAGCCTCAACCTCAACCTCAGCCTCAGCCTCAGCCTCAGCCTCAGCCTCAGCCTCAGCCTCAGCCTCAGCCTCAGCCTCAGCCTCAGCTTCGGCTTCAGTCTCAGCCTCAGCCTCAGCCTCAGCCTCAGCCTCAGCCTCAGCCTCAGCCTCAGCCTCAGCCTCAGCCTCAGCCTCAGCCTCAGCCTTGGCTTCAGCCACAGCTGCAGCCTCAGCCTCAGCCTCAGCCCCAGCCTCAGCCTCAGTCTCAGCCTCAGCCTCAGTCTCAGCCTCAGCCTCAGCCTCAGCCTCAGCTTCAGCCTCAGCCGCAGCCGCAGCCTCAGCCTCAGCCTCAGCCTCAGCCTCAGCCTCAGCCTCAGCCTCAGCCTCAGCCCCAGCCTCAGCCACAGCCTCAGCCTCAGCCTCAGCCTCAGCCTCAGCCTCAGCCTCACCGCAGCCGTAGCCCAGCCGGTCGATTGCTTTGCTCCGCGCACAGTCGCAGCGCCCGAATGGCGGCTCATTGGGCTGCCCGCTGTTAAGTTCCGTCGCCGAGCTGTGCAGGAGCCTGTGGTGCATGCATCCCATTGCCGCCATCCGGCAATGAGTCCATTTTGTTCGAGTGCGTCATTGTGGTGTGGGTGGGTCGGTGGGTGGGGCACACATCACAAAAATGGTGCTGCGAGGGTTTCGTTTTGCAGCCGAGATTTGGGAATTCCGCCATAGTACCTCGGCTGCTGAGTGCGTTATACAGCTCTGATGATCCGGAGACGCTGCTGGTGCCATCATGACGGCTGCCGGGGGCGCGGGTGCTGTGTCGGCGGCGACGGTGTTTGTTGACCTGTGACCTGTCGCCCACAGATGCGGTGTGCCTGGGGCGGGCCGAGCCGGCCCAGTTCCGGCCGCACCCGATCGAAATCGACCTCTCGGAGATCCGCTCTTTGCGCGTCACCGAGCAGGGCACGCGCTGCGTGATCGTGCAGAGCGATGGCAGCACGACCAGTCCTCTGCGGTTCCCGTCCCGAGCCGAGACGGACGCGTTCCTGGACACCGTGTACGGCGTCACACCCATTCAGAGGTGAGCGCCGCCGCGCCAGCTGCTCCGCGCCGGTGGGAGCCACCGGGGGGCTCTGTTGGGATGGAAACCGGTCAATGGTGCGGATTCACCCCCGATGGTTTAGCTTTGAGAGATATTCGTCGCCTCTAGTCATCAATGGTATGCAGGGTCGTCTTATGGCTCAGGTGTCCCAATGAACTGCCAATTCGGCCTCCTTTTGGGAGAAGATGTCTTGTTTTGTTTTGCAGCTCTTATCTCGCATCATTGTGATTGTGGCCATGCTCATCATTTGTCAAGGTAAAAGTAACTGGGTGTCGGTAATGTAGTGGTTAATACGTTTGCGTTAACCACTGCACGTCCGGGAAACCAGAGGTACGGGGTTCGATTCCCCGCGGTGCCCGCCCTTCCGGCCAAGGTGAGAGGCAGGCGACGTCATATAGCCTCAGCAGCTGAGTGCGTCGTAAAGCCCCAAGGATACACACACCCAATAACACACGAGGTGAAAGTAACTAATATTTGTTATCGGTTTGCATGGTTTGGCCGCATGAAATGTCTTTGGTGACGTGGCGAGGTGTATGTCAACAGTAGGAAACATTTATGAGGTAACCTTTTCGATGGATAATGAAGATCCGTGCTATCCTGTGGTTTGTCGAAAGCCTGCAACTGTTTTGATAGCTTATTTTGATAATTGTTTGATAATTGTGTTTGCCAGGTTGTTTTGATAATTAGTGTCTATGGGGTATTTTGGTACTTTTGGAACACGTAAGCATTAGCAGCACGGCACGACTGATTTCAACCTGCGATGGGTCGCTGAATATCATCATCCAGTTCTGAGATCTGGTCTCTCATGTGTTAGAGTAAAACCATTAACTCGTGCCGTGAAATGCATGTTAGAATGGTGCATATAGGCGCCGGCTTTGTCACACCTCAACGCCGTCCGTGCGACCAAGAATGGCGCACACAGGCACCGGCTTTGTCACGCCTCGGAGCTGATAGGCGTCGTCCGTGCGGCCAGGTCATGTCGGGACAGTTCTCTGTACCTGGCCGTGGACCGGCCGCCGGCGGCGCGCGCCGGCCCGTCGTCGCTGTACGAGCTGGCGCTGCCGGTGGAGCGCTCATTCGGCTCTGTGCTCAAGTTCGTGCGCGACTTCCAGCAGGACCCGCGCACTGCCGCTCTCTCGGGCTTCGGCAAGTTGGCCGACACCTTCCGTGAGTGGGGGCTGCGCAGTGGGCTCGGACCGTGCCGCTGCCGCTGATCGGTGTCCGGCGCGGCCGGTCAGTGCCGGCCAGTCGGGCAGGCGGAGACGTTACAACGGCTTTTTGACGGCATGGATGAAACTTGGCTGCACTGTCTCGGTGTGTGCCCCTGTGGAACGTGATGGTCTTGACATCCCACGCGGGGATCGACGTTTGAGAGAGGGACACCAGAGGAGCCCAAGCGTTGAAGGCATCGTTTAGCCCTCCTCCTCAAGAATGGTGTTATGATAGTTTGCTAAGTGTGATGGTGTGTTGTGTGGCGGTTGTGGCCGGAACTGAGTGCTGCGCCCCGCCGTGTGTCCAGTGAACCTGGGTCTGGAGGACCAGAGGCCTGCAGAGGACATCGCCGATCTGCTGAAGCAGCACAGCAGCGAGTTTGAGCCGCCGCGGCTGCAGAGTACGCAGCAGGAGGGTGCGTGCCATCTGCCGCGGGGTGACGCCGGCGCCTCGCTTGGTGCAGTTACAGTGCCAGTACTCGTCAGCGAATGTTATATTGGAGTGGCCCAAAAAATAAGTCAAAATATTAAGAAACTGAAGGCATAAAGTGTTTCATCCAATGAGGAAATATCACGGGCAAATTTGTATTAGGCTGCGACGTTATGTGGTGTTATGGTGGTGGTGGTGGTGATTTGGTGTTTAAGGGCGCGTCGGCATCGGGCCATTTTGCGCCCACTGGTGTTATGTGGGCGTGATATGGTGCCATAGACAATGGCGGTCGGTTTTCATGCACCAGGCAACGAGGTTCGAAGAACTTGACAAAGTGCCAGTGACGTTAGCCGGTAAGGTGGAACAAGTCAAACAGCACGCGTGTTGCCGTAGGGGACTCACTATAACGTGTTTTGGTCCAGATGTTGTACGGTTAAAGTTTCCGTTCGGTTCGGATGCGTGCCAGGCCCGTAACTCCACCTGACAAACACGAGGCCTGCGCCGCAGGATTCGAGGTGGTCACTGAGATCCATTTGGGCGAGCGACGGCCGGTCTCCAGAGAGCGCCCCCTCTCTCACCAAGAGTGGGATGGCTTCCACGACGCCGAGGGACGCATTGTGGACGCTGACCAGCTGCGTGAGCGCGTATTTCGCGGGGTAAGATGCCGTTTACCGTTCTCGATTACACCAGTCGTGAGTAGGGCCTAATAGCCGCACTACATCGTCCAGATAGGGTTGCTCTCTGGAACTGCCTTATATGACCACACCTGGCAACTTCATCACACCGGGCAACTTCCTCTCCTTGTGATCCGTATCCTGATCTGTATCCTGATCTGTGACCGGTGTCGGCTGCCTTTCTGCACGCATAACTGTGTTGGTGGAGCCTGCGCGGCTCGCCGTCCGGTGTTCTGTGCGTGCGCGCGTGCCTTGAGCTGGCCGGGTGGGGCCGGCAGGGCGTGGAGCCATCACTGCGCCCAGCGGTCTGGCCGTTCCTGCTGGACTACGACCGGGCCGGGATGACGACTGCAGAGCGGCAGCAGCACCGCGAGAAGCGCAAGGACGACTACTTCCGCATGAAGCTGCAGTGGGCCTCCATGTCAGAGGAGCAGCTGGCTCAGTTCGCCGGCCTCCGGGACCGGCGCGCGCTTGTCGGTGCGTGGTCGGCCGGCGCGCCGCGCCCAACCCGCAGAGTCCGCTCCGCTGCCGTGGAGGGATTGGCCGTCCGTCCCTCCCCCCCCCCCGCCGTGGAGGGATTGGCCGTCCGCTTCCCCCCGCCGTGGAGGGATTGGCCGTCCGCCTCCTCTTGCCGAGGAGGAGTTGGCCGTCCGCCCTCCCCGCCACGCACACCACATACGCTACGTCTGGGATGAGCGCGCACATGCACGATGGGGCGAGGCCGCGTGGAAATGCCGCCCGACATGTTGCTGCCGCGCTGCCCGCTCATCGGCGATTTGTTCGTCTTGTTCAATATCTTGTACTTCGCTGCCGTGCGTGCCAGACTTGAGTGCAAGCACTGCAGACTGTGTTGCCCCTGTCCGCCATCGTGCCGCGGTGCGGGTCGCGGTAGTCCACGGAGGGGTAAGGGGAGGGAGGGGGGGGGGCAGGGGGGGGGGGCAGGCGTGAATTTTCCCGCCTCGATCGGAGGCTTGCTTTCAGAAATCATTTAAGCGCAGCTGAACCTTTCGCGTGATTTCCGAACTTTTCACCAAGTGTTTGGGAGTAGTATTCTCAAACGGACAGATCGTCTCGCTGTAATGGCATTGCGCCTTTCCGTTTGCAGGGAGGGGATGGCGCGACAGAGCGCTACACGTCAATAATATGATATTGCACTTGAAAATAGTAACCGTTAAGTAACCATTTCGCTATACCCATCTCAAAGCTTCAACGGTATGTTGAATCGTCTTGTCTGGCGCGCATGTCAGGGAAGTTTGATATGTTGAACAAGGTGATATTGAAGGTTTTGTTACAAGAGTGTTTCGGGCTCTCTCTCTCTCTCTCTCTCTCTCTCTCTCTCTATCTCTCTCTCTCTCTCTCTCTCCTCTCTCTCTCTCTCTCTCTCTCTCTCTCTCTCTCTCTCTCTCTCTCTCTCTCTCTCTCTCTCTATCTCTCTCTCTCTCTCTCTCTCTATCTCTCTCTCGCTCTCGTCTCGCTCTCGCTCTCGCTCTCGCTCTCGCTCTCGCTCTGCTCTCGCTCTCGCTCTCGCTCTCGCTCTCGCTCTCGCTCTCGCTCTCGCTCTCGCTCTCGCTCTCGCTCTCGCTCTCGCTCTCGCTCTCTCGCCCTCGGCTGCGCTTTGATCTGAGCGGCTGCGCTTCTTGGCTCTTTATTTTCTGACATTTGCTCTGCATTTATTTCTTGACCTCGCCTCCCCCTCCCACGAACACTAGTGTTGTGATTATGCCCATGTTAAATAGATGGAGACGGGTCACTGCATACCATTTAGCTGTAACTTCAAAACTCAACTGGTTAGTACCCACCCATTATATATGCTTGGGCATATACGACGCAGACAAATCACCATGGTATTGAATTGACGCTATGTAATTCTTCAACTAAGCCATATTCGAATCAACGTAAAATGAACATACAGCAATATATAAATTCCGTAAAGTCAGTCGCAGAGAATGTCGCCACGCGCTGTGCCCCCTCCCCCACCCCCTGTTTTAATCAGTCAAAAACGGCGTAGCATGCACTGGCTCCGACCGTCTGTAATGCCAATCTTGTCGAGTGGGTTTTCTTGGGCAGTATAACCGTATCCGTCGTGGCGAGCTTGTTTGTGGTGAAGATGACCCCTGGCGTGACCTGACATGCCTCAGAGAAGGACGTCACGCGCACGGACCGCTCCGAGCCGTTCTTCGCCGGCGGCGCCAACGTCCAGCTGCTGCACGACATTCTCGTCACCTACTGCATGTACAATTTCGACCTGGGCTATGTACAGGTGCGCCAGCCGGATCGGTCGGAGGTGGGCGGCAGGCCGGCCACCCGCCGGCCGGGCTGGACGCGCCCGGCCGCTGATATGTGCTGCCTGTGCTGGCTATGAGTTCTACTAGTCGTCGTCGTCGTCAGTCGAGGATACCTGGCAGGCGAACAGCGCCATCTGTTGTCAGGCATGGTTGCCAGCTTTCGGCGACCCGTGGTCATCATTTTGGCATGTGTTTGCGTGCCGCGCCATGTCGTGGCGTGTCACGTCATGCCGTGTCGTGTCGTGCCGTGCCGTGCCGTGCCGTGCCGTACCGTGCCGTGTGGGACGATGCACGTCCGGCCCGGCGTGACCGCTGCCCGCCCCTGCTGACCTGACCCGGCCGTGACCGCCGCTGTTGCAGGGCATGTCTGACCTGCTCAGCCCGATCTTGTTCGTGGTCAGGGACGAGGTGGACGCCTTCTGGTGCTTTGTCGGCTTCATGGATCACGTGGTAGGGTGGGCTGCCGGGAGAAGGCTTGGCGTGATGCAGTTTCGGTCGACGATGGTTTTGCCCAGAATTCCGTATCTTTTCGGGTTGCCAACATGCCTGGACCTAACTGTATTACGACATATCTATTTATGGTCATGCAGGCGCTGATGCAGTCCGAACATGCCTTGGTATTTTTAGCACTATGACTCAGTTGGCGGCCTGCAGAGGCGTACGAGATCAAGAGAGACATGCAAGGCGCGCCTCGTTATGTGGTTTCTGAGGTCACGTTCTGTAGCGTGGTAAACTCTTATCTTATTGGAGCATGGTTACTCATCTCTTACATTGGTACACAAATGTGATGACCTTTTCGTTGAGTAGTCGTGTTCGCGGGGCCGAACAGAACCAGACGGGTTGACCTGTTGCTGGCGGTTAGTTGTGGTTGTCGGTCCGCCGCCGGACTAGCAGGCGCGGCGCCACGGTGGAAAGCCACGCTGACGTCTCGTCAGCGTCACGACCGCGCTGAAGAGGACCCCGATTCCCCACACCCTCACGTCTGCCTCCAGAGCAGCAATTTCGAGCTGACCCAGAAGGGCATGGAGCGTCAGTTCTCGGACCTGCGCGCGCTGCTGCAGGTGTACGACCCGGACTTCTGGACATACCTCGACCAGAACGAATCCAGCCGCATGTCATTCACGTTCCGGTGCGTGGTGCCTCGCTGTCATAGTGTGACACACGCCACACCTGCCGCGCCGTGCCGCTCCAGTCTCGCTGTGGCGCCGCGTCATATTTCACGCCGCAGTCGCCCTGCGCCGTCCTGCAGTTGGTCCAGAGCCAGAGCGCCACCCTTCCCTGTTTAATGTGCTGCCCCACCACGTTGCCACCCCGTCACACCGTGCCACCCCGCCACACTGTGCCACCCTATCTCACTGTGCTGTTCCCCCTGTTAATGTCGCCCTGTCACACCATGTAACCGCACCACACCGCCGCCCCACAGTATTGTGCCATCCCATTCCACGTGCGGTCCCTCGTCACATGTCGCCGTGCCGGGTCTCACCATACCGTGCCAGTGTCGGTGACGTCGCCACCTGTCGGCGCGGCAGGTGGCTGCTGGTGTGGTTCAAGCGTGAGATGGAGTGGGCCGACGTGCAGCGACTCTGGGAAGTGCTGTGGACGCGGCGACCCTGTCCCAACTTCGTCCTGCTGCTGGCGCTAGCTGTGCTCGTCCAGCAGCGCTCCATCATCATGGAGTCCAGCCTGGGATTCTCGGCCATTGTCAAGGTGAGGCGTCGGCCAGCGACAGGCCTGCTGGCATGGTGTAACATCGTCAGCAATCTGCCACCACCCAGCTGTGGCCCCAGGGGTCCTGCGGCTAACTGATGGCACATGTGGAGGATACCACCAAGTTGATTGTGGCGCAGTTGCCGGAACGGGTATCCTTCGAAGAGGTCAGAGTTGACCGAGTTCATCGAATGGTGGTGTGAACATTGCGGTACGCGTCGTGTTGGACCGTCCATCCATGACTGAGTTCTACCCTGGCACTCTGATTGGTCTGATGTTCTGGTCTCCTTCTATTCCGAGACGTCAGTTGTGAAATGGGTTACGTCATCCACAAGAAAGGCTGTCTGCCTCTTCTTTAATGAATCCCCGATTCCACGCCGCTTCTCATTGGTAACTTATTGATTTGTCGGCGCTGTGTACGTTTGGCCAGGATGTTGGCGGCCTGACCGCAGGGTTCCATTGGCCAGGATCGGATGTATTTTAGGGTACGACAGAAGCAGCAACTGTGACAGTTGTTTGGCTGTGCTAATGCTGGTCGTGTTGTTTACTGCGGCAGCACGTCAACGACTTGGCAATGCATATGACCTGGAGGCCAGCTTGAAGCTGGCGGAGGTCATATACCACCAGTTTCGGGAAGGAAACGCGAGTGCCCACCGCCGTGCGAGCCATCATCGGCCTGGCGCCAGGGGAGGCCGCTACCAGCGCTGCCGACTCGTCTCAGCCAGCCAGCAAGGACAGCCGAGCGACGACGAGCGTGCCTACGAGAAGGGCTGGCCTCAAATTTCACGTGTGAAGCATGCACATGGAGTGCGTTGCCGGCTGTGGCGCGAATAGTTCTGTTCAACACAGCTGCTGCTGCTATTGGCCGAACCGGCCTCACAGTGCTGGCTGGGCCGGCTGACAGCAGTGGGGTACA